ATTTTACATTGTGGTGGTAATGACGTTGGTAACATCTCTTTGAGAATTCTTATTCAAATCATTAAAAGTACTCTGGGGAAAATTCAATCATTATTACCCAATACAAAGATAATTTGGTCTACCAAGGAGAAACTGGAGATATTCAGAAAATATTGATGCAATGAACAAGACTTTGAAAAGGTTGAATAGCTCCATTGCAGCAGCAGTTGTAAAAAATGGGGGAGGTTACATCAAATATCAAGATTTAAATTACAAGGATGCATTGCTTTTTGAAAATGATGGAGTTCATTTATCCCAAACAGGGAATGAAATTTATTTGAATACAATTTGTGCAGCAATTGAACAATTTAAATGTACAGGGATACTTGTTTATCCAAAAATCTATTAGTCACATAACTTAAGAGTGGCATGGTCCTGGCATTAGGAACTAACCGCTTCCCCCACTTGGTGGCCGTGGCTGCAATGACCACGTGGTGCATGTGGCCATTTTCGCCATGTGGAAGAATGCGCGGGTTGTTCCTATCAAAATTAGTATACTAAATAAAGATGTACATTTTACATTACTTTACACTCAATTTGAAGTGTACATTTTTGTCTCAGGTTGCCGCTCTGCACCGGAATCTGAGTTTTTGAACTTTGTTTTCTGCATTTGTTTGCAATGACTGAATTTGGACATGTATGTATATATATATTTTTTTCAATATTATTGAGCAATTTGCTACATTTCAGCTTGAATAATTTGCAAATTGGTTCTTTGCCGCTTACCGGAAAGAATAAATTAGCACATATATATTATTTAGTTATTTGTTGTCAGGCAATGATGTGTTTTTGATCTATACCAATTTGGTGTCAATGCACAAATGGCATTTCCATTGTACAATTATTTTGTAATAGGGTCCGCCAACAGCTTATCTCCCCCTCGCGCCGCTAGAGGCACTGTTGTACTATGAGGTATTCGAGATAAACAACACGGCGTACGCTTCGTACACCGTACAGAAATTGAAAAAAGAATTGATGTTGCGCGGCGCTGTAACTACGGGAAGAAAAACAGATCTCATAGAAAGGTAAGAAAAATATTAATACTGTTAAAAATAAATGATTTTCAATGAAGTAATCGTAATATAATTAAAATAATTAGGGTTATCAGAGTCAAGTCACACGAGTGCTACATGTACATTGTCAGTGATTGTACTGACAATATGCCAACAATAACTGTTAGACAAATTTCATATTACTGTGTAGGTTGGAAGCATACGAACGAAATTTTATGCATTATGACTTAATGCCACATATATCAGAAGCCCATATCGAAGGTACAGTAATATTGGGGAAAATCGCTTAAGTATGTTAAAAAATTTGGTGTATGCCACATATGAAATTTAACGGTTTTGAGGATATCAAATATAAATATGTCAATGTGCAGGTGTAAAACTCATATTTTCTTTTGGAATTCTTAGGATATTTTCAATACAGACAAGCAGTTGACAGGCAAATGATGGGCAATACAAAGGCGATTGTGAAAGGAACATTGCTCTTGGAGTCAGAGAGAGTTGAAGCACTGAGTATTAACTGTCAACATGAGGACTTTTTTCTTACAGGATTTGTCAGAGCAGCAATGAAGAAAAAGGTAGTGTTTCAAAATAAATGAACATCAACTAAAACTAATTTTAAACAAGAGGCCCACGGGCCTTATAGGTCACCTGAGTATCATGCATCAACTTTGCCATGAGCCCTGCCCTAACACCAGAGCCCTGCCCTACACCAGAACCTTGACCCACTTTATTTAATACCCAGGAGCAGAGAAGATTTTCAATGATTTAATGAATTTTCACTATATAATCAATAGAGCCCTGCCCTAACACCAGAACCCCTGATCCTGGGGCCATGAACTTCACAATTTTGGAAGAGGCACTCTTGCTCATCATAACTATGTACTTAGTAAGTTTATTTAATACCCAGGAGCATAGAAGAAGATTTTCAAAGAATTAATGCATTTTCACTATGTAATCAGTAGAGCCCCGCCCTAACACCAGAACCCCTGATCCTGGGGCCATGAAATTCATAATTTTGGAAGAGGCACTCTTGCTCATTATAACTATGTACTTAGTTACTTTATTTAATACCCAGGAGCTTAGAAGAAGATTTCAAAGAATTAATGCATTTTCACTATATAATCAGTAGAGCCCCGCCCTAACACCAGAACCCCTGATCCTGGGGCCATGAAATTCACAATTTTGGGAGAGGCACTCTTGCTCATCATAACTATGTACTTAGTTACTTTATTTAATACCCAGGAGCAGAGAAGAAGATTTTCAAAGAATTAATGCATTTTCACTATATAATCAGTAGAGCCCCGCCCTAACACCAGAACCCCTGACCCTGGGGCCATGAAATTCAAAATTTTGGAAGAGGCTCTCTTGCTCTTCATAACTATGTACTTAGTAAGTTTATTTAATACCCAGGAACAGAGAAGAAGATTTTCAAAGAAATAATGCACTTTCACTATATGATCTATATAGCCCCACCTTAGCACCAGAACCCCTGACCCTGGGGCCATGATTTTCACAATTTTGGTAGAGGACTCAATGCTTATTACAATCATGCCAACAGTTTGACTGCTTGATGTCCAGGAGTAAAGAAGAAGATTTTTAAAGATTGCATTAATTTTGATAGTTTTAGCCCCATCCCTCAGGCCCCAGGGGGGTAGGGGTCATGAATTTCATAATTTTTACTCCTCTGCACCCATAGATGCTATATGCCAAATTTGGTTGAAATTGGTTCAGTGGTTCCAAAGAAGAAGCTGAAAATGTTCAAATGTTAACGCACGACGGACGACGCACGCCGACGGATGAAAACAGATAGCAATAGGTCACCTGAGTAAACTCAGGTGACCTAAAAAATCAATGTACATGTGTGTGTAGTATGAATGTAGAGTGAATCAAGATTGTCTGAGTAATGAGTATTATGTTGTTGACTGTATTTAACAGGTGTCTTACAATTATCATGTAAGAATTCACAGAAAAATGGGTGAAATTAAAAATTCAGATTGTGAATGCCCTGCTGGGAAGGGCCCTAATGGAACTTGTAAACATGTAGCAGCTGTTGTTTTGCTCTTGGTGAAATTTCGGGAAACACGCATTATAGCCATTCCTAGAGGATGTACAGATAATCTCCAGACTTTTCATAAGCCAAGAAGTCTTTTCAAGTTGAGCTGCCTGTGTTTAAAAATGTTTCCTATTCATGTTTTTTTTAAATTTGACAATTTAAATTTTGAATATTTGTTTTTGTTTATATACACAAGTGTCAAAAGTTACAAACAACTTTTCAGCATATATTAAATTTTGATGATGATGATGCTCCATCTTCATTAGCTAAGGATTTCTGGTCTGCTACTCAACTTACAAACCCTTGGCCTAGGGTGTTATTAAAAGTTGGGATTTTTTTTTTCTCAAGTTGCAATTGGAGTTTCTTGATATTGTTTGACCAATCAGCAAATGCTTCTGTACATATGATGATATTTCAGTTTGGGATATATCTTGACTCAAAAGTCTCAGGAATGAAAAAATTGGGCAAACAATGATCCCTAACATAATGTGGCATTATAAAAATGGCTATAGTATCATCCATGCACATAATGTGATCAGGAATCTATATTGGAGATACAGACTTGCACCCTTAAGAACAAATAAACATTGCTCGATAGCTGCTTCTTAATTATTATTTTTTTTAAAAAACGCTCTTTATTTTTGTTGATGATGCTAGTTGTGGGTACATGTATGTGGTAAGATTCAAAATCAGGTGACATAAACAATCCCAACTTTTGATAGCACCATTGGCAAAGGGTGGCTAGCTAAGATAATAATGCCCTGTAACATACAACTTTAATTCTGTGACCCTTGTCACAATTTTTTTTAAATATAAAAGTTGTGTGATCTACAGACAGGTATACAAAACTACAGTTTGAGAAGTTGTTTTAGGTGGTTCTTCTCATGCATGCAAAATTTAGTTTTTATGTTCAATCTTTGTTGAATATACATTAAAGATGAATACATCTGATCCACAAATTTACAAGTCATGTACATGTATATTATAAGTAAACCATGAAATAAGAAAGCTTTAAATTAATGCAGATATTGATTACAAGTACTGATATCTATTCAATATATTACTTAATTAAAAGTGATGGAAATGTGATTTCTTTGTACAGGAATTCAATACTGAAATATATATTTGGCAAATTGTAATAGAAGTTAAATTAAATTACACGTAAACTAATGTGTTGTTTTTTTTTGGTTAATGTCCGACTTATTCTAAATCTTTGAATTTTACAGGCTCCCCCAAGGTCTAAAATTCAGTATTGAAAAACAAATAAAAATGATTCTAGAGCCTAAAATGGCTTTGCCCTGTGGTAGCTCTTTCTTGAGAATTTTGAAAGTCTCGGCCAGTCCAATGATTCTTTCAACATGAATTCGCTTTGCGATTCTTCGGTCTTTAACAACATCTTGTGCCTCAAGTTGGCTTTTTCCTTTCAACATTATTGGAGTGTTGACCTGAATGTTACGAGGGGCAAACAAATCCTGGACCATGATACATACCCCTGTCAGCCATTATACTGTCATGGTCTTGGAATTTGTCCTGGTCTCTAAGTAAGTCAGAACGTTCAATAATTTGTCTGTCACTTGTAGCACCACAGTATGCATCGGAAATATAACTGACAGTTCCACGTGGTGTACAACCAATCATCACCTTTAGTGTATTTTTATTCTTGTAATTTGAAAATGTAGCACTCTGGGCATTTACATTCTGGGGCTTATTTATTGGTACCTCAGTGGTTATCCTTCAGAAATGTTATTCATGTCATTCGACAAACCACTTACTTCAGAAATTCATCCACAACAACTATCACATTTCTCTTGTGTAAAAATAAAGTATCTGTGTGTATCTGTGAATAAATTGTAGATATAACTGATGCAATTAAAATTTCTTTATGAAATACTTACTATGTTGAATATCTTCTGAATCATAAGTGGAAGACTAAATTCCGTCAGAATAAAAACAGGATGACGAGTACACTCCATTGATAAATGGTCACTCACATCGTCATATGTTATTGGGCAGACAAAGTAGTCAAATTGTACTAGAATGTAAGAAACCTAAAAAAAAAAAGCCAATAGGGCCATTACTCTAAAAAGCATAAACAAGTATTTTTTAAAAATGTAGTGCTGAAAATAAACACAAAGAATGTCAACTCTGTTCAACTTTCTTAGGTCATCTCTTAATATTCTTTCAAATCCCCCACATGAATGATCTTAAGAGCAAATATATTTCTTCAAATTGTTTTGTGTGTGAGATAAAATTAGTTACATCTACTTATTAATAAGGAATGAAATGATACTTAATTAAAAGTACATACCACAAACAAATTTTCTTACCTCTCTCTTTCTCTCTCTCTCACACACATACACAAAATGCTTTGCAATTTTTCAATATTTCTTTCAATTTAATTTCTAATTAGGAAATTCTAACTGTGTAAAATGTACATGTAAATACAGAATCTTATAAATGTTTCCCATAACTTTAGAGTAACAAAACCTTTTATACTTCTTAAATTTTATTAACCTGAAAGTTGTACATTTTCCCATTTTTCACCAAAAAATGTGTCTTGGTCAAACATATACCTGGTAATGATGTTTACACAGGTAACTAAACAAATATCACTTCTATAGTGAGAGAGGCACCTATTAAAGCAAAGATATTTAAATTTTGGAAGGAAAATTTTGTTAGTGTTATTTATCCTTAAGCTGTATTAATAAGTGATATCAATATTATATTTTTTTTGAAAAAATGGGAGAAACATTTATTTTTAAGACAAAATGTCACAAATGTAAAGCTTTGAAAATTGTTGTCACATGCAAAATCCTCCATGGTAATTTTCAAAAGTTGGCATGTATGACTCAAACCAAATTTTTGCTAGTTTAAAGTTTGCATTACAAGATCAATATTCATGCAAGTCTGGTTAACATATGACTTATATGACTTGGGAAGGGCCAGCTCCAAAATCATTAACCAGGTCACTCATCTGGAAAATGTACATCAGATCCAGCATCCTTAGCAAGGTTGGAAGTATGCATCATCAATGCAAGTTTGATTTAGGTAGAGCTTATATTCACTCATCTGGAAAATGTAGGCCAGATTCAGCATCTGTAGTATGAATAATTTACTTCTCTAGGTACATCATCAGTGCAAGTTTGGTTCAGGTAGGGCAAATGTTCACTAATTTGAAAAATAAAGATCAGATCCAGCATCTGAAGAAGGATTAATAATAATGTACATCCCTAGATGCATCATCAATGCAAATTTGGTTCAGGAAGGGTAAATGTTCATTAATCTGAACAAGAGGCCCATGGGCCCAATGTTCACCTGAGTCACTTTGGCCCTGCTGTTCTTCATCAGATTTTTCTCCTTGTAATACTTTGATTCCCTATTGTGGCTTCATTGAATTATATAGCAAAATCTTTAAAAATCTTCTTCTCAAGAACTTCTGGCCAGAAAAGCTGAAACCCCTAGGGGGCATGATTTGATCAATTTATAATCTAAACTACCTCACAAAGTTTATACATAAGTTTCAGCTTTTCTGGCCAGAAGTTCTTGAGAGAAGATTTTTAAAGATTTTTCCTATATATTTCAATGTTAAACTTTGGTTCCCTATTGTGGACCCACCCTACCCCCCAGGGCCATGATTTGGACAATTTAGAATCAACACTACCCCAAAAAGCTTCCACAAAAGTTTCACTTTTTCTGGCCCAGTGGTTCTTGAGAAGATTTTTAAAAAATTTTCCTTTATATTTCAATGTAAAACTTTGATTCCCTATTGTGGCCCCACCCTACCCTGGGGGACCATAATTTATGTAATTTAGAATCTACGCTATCTCAGGAAGCTTCCACATAAGTTACACTTTTTCTGGCCCAGTGGTTCTTGAGATGATTTTTAAAGGTTTTCCTATATATTTCATTGTAAAATTTTGATTCCCTATTGTGGCCCCACTCTACCCCGAGGGCCATGATTTAAACAATTAAGAATCTACACTACCTCACAAAGCTTTCCTATAAGTTTCAGCTTTTCTGGCCCAATGATTCTTGAGAAGATTTTTTAATGACCCTACCCTATTTTTGTCATTTCTTGATTACCTCCACGTGGCCCTTCATTTTAACTTGAATCTACACTATGTAAAAAAGGTATCATATAAGTTTAAACTTTAAACAGTGGTTCTTGAGAAGAAGATTTTTAAAAACTACCACCATATTTTCACTAATTCTTAATTATCTCCCCTTGAAAGAGGGTGTGACCCTTCATTTGAACTAACTTGAATCCTCTTTACCCAAGGATGCTTTGTACCAACTTCGGTTAAAATTGGCTCAGTGGTTCTTGAGAAGAAGTTGAAAATGTGAAAAGTTTACAGACGAATGGACGGATGGACAGACACACGGATGACAGATGATCAGAAAAGCTCACTTGAGCTTTCAGCTCAGGTGAGCTAAAAATGTAGGTAAGATCCAGCACCGAAATCAGGATGGATAATGTACATCCCTAGATACATCACCATTGCAAGATGGGTTTAGGTAGGGTTAATACTCACATTTTGAAAATGTAGGACAGATCCAGCATCTGAAGCAGCTAGGCCTGGTAATGTACATGCAACATACCATCAAGTTTGTTATAAATAAGGCAAATGGATACTTGGGAATGGACCTGCTCTACCTGTTCACTAATACAGAAAATGTAGGTCAGAGCATCTGAAACAAATCTGGTAGTGTCCATCTCAAGATCATCCATGCAAGTTCCACACTAGTATGGCTTTGCCCCCAAAACTTTAACCTGGTTACTCATCTGGAAAATGTAGGTCAGATCCAGCATCTGATGCAAATCTGGTAGTGTCCATCCCTAGATGCACCATTCAAGCTAGTTTGGTTCAGGTAAGTGGTAAATATGGACACTACCAGATTTGTTTCAGATGCTCTGTTTTTGACAAGTACTGAATAAACACAGTAATTTTTTGGCCAGAATGTTTACATCATGATATAAAGGAGTTCCTGCATTTGGGACACTGTAATAAATATTCTGTGGCAGTCAGACGAGTTTGATTGCCAATGGCCAGATAGATCAGTTGGTAGAGCACCTGACTTAGATTCAGAGGGCCCAGATTTGAATCCCAGTCTGGTCCATTGCATTTTCCTTCTCTCCCATTACATTTGGTTCTGTGCCATGCCCTGGAAGTGATAGATGAAAGACCTGCCAGGGAAGAGCCTGGGTGGTTGTCTTTGGTGGCTGAAGACCTTTAAGAAAGGAGGAATGTGGCGGGTTCGATTGCTGTGGCCAGATAGCTCATTTGGTAGAGCATCTGACTGGAGATTCAGGGGGCCCAGGTTCAAATCCCAGTCTGCTCTATGACATTTTTCTCCTCTCCCATTACAGTTCCTATTTTATTTATGTTTGTTATGAAATGATTTTGTTCCTTGTGTTTTCAACATAATAAGTGTTCTGTCTTACGAAATTGTATTCATTATAATGAGACTTAATGTAGCTCCAAGTATAAAATAAAATCTTTCAACAAATTTAGTTAATAATTGGTTTAAGTTTTCTAAGTGAATAGACACCATCTGTTCTGTCTTTTTTTCAGGTTAAGTGAAATCTTTGCAATGCATAGTATTACCATAAATCCAAACAGAACTGTAGAAATTGCTCCTCCTATAAAGCCTTCCCAGGTCTTCTTTGGTGAGAGCTTTATCAGTGGTGTTTTACCAAAGAAGAAACCAAACATGTATGCCATGATATCATTACAGATGATCATTGATACAGGAACCAGAAGCCTATACAAAAAAGAAAATAATTACAAACTAGAACTGTCCATAATGGACAAATACCCCCTGCTGGGTTTTTCAGAAAAGGTGCCAAGTAACTCAACATATTTTATGGCTCTAAGAGTGTTCACAATTTGTTTAAACATTCAGAGCGAAAATTTAATTGATCATTATATTTTTTTAATGATAAAATAAGGTGCAGCCCAGTGTTTGAAACTCACTGCTAAATTAGCCAGACATGCAGGGCTGACTGCTAGTAAAAGTTATCAGCCCTGCCTAAGATCTACGAGCCTGAGAAAATAATTGTCTTTTATACATTTGTTTTTAACAATTAAATGACTGGAACAAGGTCACCATAAGTTCGAACCAGAGTCCATAGAATGACGAATTCTTCCTCTTGGCTTGTTACACTTTGCTACTGATACTATTAGTTGAAATGAAAGAGATTTATCAAATATATGAATTTTAATTATCAAAAATTTTAACACGTCCAACCAGGCGTCAATACATGCCAATTTGTTCACCCGCTGCAAAATTTGTGTGTCTCGGCCGTCGAGCACATGGTTATTTCAAACACTGGTGCAGCCTAATAAAACATCAATAATAATAATTATTGTTACATTACTAATTTAATTATATTTATGAATTAGTTATTTATTATATTTATAATTAGTGTTTTTTAATTATTTTTTTTATTAGATTGAAAAAATAAATTGCATTTATCATTTTTGTGAGACATAACACTCTGCAATTTGTTGAAAATAAAACTATCATAATATACAATATCAAACTCTTGATAACTTTATACCAAATTCATTTTAAAAATCCAGGTACTATGTATTTCAATTTGACAGCTAGACTATAAATTACAATTAAGAAAGTTAGAGAACAGAGATCTTTAATTCTTCTGCCTAATTCCCAGGAGATATAGATAACACCTGCTAGATAAAGAGATGCTCTAACAGCTTCCCACTCTGAACTTATCAATCTTCAACTGGATGCATGTCCACTCATTACTCCGAAGGGACAAATGGATTTACACATTACAATAGAAAATACATGTATATGTCATTCTGTTGAAAACAAAGATTTTTTTAAATTGGTTACAAAGTTTTAAATAACGAAAAAAAAAACCAAGAGGCCCAAGGGCCTTAACGGTCACCTGAGTATAATACAACAATTTAGAGGATCCATAGAGTATAAAATGAACTGAAAGGTGAGGCTTTGTTGCCCAAAAGCAAGAAAAATAGGGTGATCAGGATCAACAAAATAATTAGTCTAGTATTCATTAACAGTTTCATGAATTAGGTTCTAATCTGTTCCCCATTTATCACTCTCACCATACAGTATATTAACAAATTATCAGTGCTTTTGTTCTACCTTATCTCTTACATTGGCCTCCCTTGGTCTTTGATGAACATTTAATAAGACAATTTATTTTTGTCTCATTTTTATTTATCTATTACTTACAAGTCTACCTGATCATTAAAACTAAGAAAGTACTTTTTGTATTATACAATAAAAATTCTTGCATAATTCTCTTATTCTATTAACCTTTCAAGTACTTTATTTACAGTGATTAATTATCAAAAGTAAATGGCAAAGGGGAATAACTCCTCTCAGTAGAATACAAATTGGCCAGGACTAGAACACTTGATCAAATGGTCCAGATGTTCAAAAATCTGGTAAAAATACCCTTCCTTATTAAAACTTTTTCTCTTTTTGCCTCTGATATGCCCAGCAGCAGAGAAGATTTTTAAAGAAATAATGCATTTTTACTACACTATATTATCAATAGAGCCCCCCCCCCCTCCCCACCGAGAAACACCAGAGCCTCTCACCCTGGGATCAGAAGTTTGCTCATCATAAGTAATCACTTTGTTTATCTGCTTAACACTAAGGAGCAGACAGAATTATTTAATAGAATTAATGCATTTTCACTATATTATCAAGAGCCCCATCCTTACACCAGCACATCTGACCCAGGGGTCATGCAATTCACTACTCTGAAAGAAGCACTCTTGCTCATCATAACTATATATTTAGCTTCTTTGCTTTTTAACCAGAAGCAGAAAAGAATATTTTCAAAGAAATTTTGCTTTTTCAGTATATAATCAATAGAGCCCCCCCCCCCTTTTCACCAGAACCCTTGACCCTGAGGCCATGAAATTCACAATTTTGGAAGAGACATCCTTGCGTATCATAACAATGTACTTAGTTTGTTTTAATAATATCCAGGGGCAGAGAAGAAGATTTTCAAAGAAATAATTCACCTTCACTATAGGATCTACTAGACGAAATCCCGCGCAAGCGCGGGGAATTGAATTTATACCACTACCGACAAAAAATATTGTAGTTTCTACTGACAGCCTACAGGCTTATAGCAGGAAGAAATACTTTGTTCAAAATCCCGCATTAAGTAGATTTACATCTCCACCCCATCCCCCCTTTTTGTAAAAACTTGAAAAATAATAATTTCATTAATTGACGTTTTAATTGTGAAACCTGTTATACTATGTTATGGCTATTGTACTCAGATGCCCTTATTTCATTTCCGTCAAGGATAAAAGCAGCGAATATTACTGATAATTTTTTTGGGGGGGGGGGGGTAAAAATTCACAGGTACTTGGGTCTTGGTTTATAACTATGTATGTACCTTATTGATATGTAAATCAAAAGCCTGAAAGGCTTCAATGACGTCGAACAAGAAAAACAATTTCAAAAGATAATTTTGAATTTGAAGATACATGTAGCGATAAGTCAAGTGAGTGACTCAGGAGACATAATAAAAAAATAGTTTTAAACAAAATATCACAATTACAGTCTGGGGCCTTATGTCATGGTCCGAATGGAGCAAGGTTCGAATTGACCAGACACCGTCGAACATGTTCATGCCAAATATTCTTTTCAGTCAATTATGAACTATGAAGGATTTCATGAATTTATATAATATTTTTTCTAATTCCCAATGTCAAAGCGTTGTATTAGTGATTGCATCTAAACTACAACCAAGACTCTGTTCTGTTACAATTACGATCGAGTTACGATCGGGCGTGGTATACGGCATACTGGGAAATGGAGGAAATGGAGAAATACAGTAATACTGGTCAATATCATCGGTTTTTAGGATAGAGTTGGTTAGAAGATTGTATACGTAAAGCTAAGATTTAGAAATTCAATCTTTTTAGTCTTGTAGTATTTGTGTTTACGTAATTTTGTAATTATTTTACCTCCTGTTGTGTTGTTTATGTTACACGGTTATCGTTCCGAAATGTTATTCATGTCATTCAACGCACCCTTTGTGTAGAAATTCATCCGCAACAACCATCATGTTTTTCTTATGTGAGAATAAAACATAATATTGTTGTTTTGCAATAGAATTAATTGCAGATATAATTGATGCAATTTTATTTTCAAGGTAATATTCATTTTGAGCGTTTTCAAAGAAATTGGTTTATAGCTAATGCTATTTTCTATTGCGGATGCATTGACTGACACATTCGGTCGCGTACATATCCGGTTGCGATTTCAACTGGGCGCTTGCTAGATGACGTTCGAGCTCCAAGAGCTCGACGTCATATAAATGTACGTTACTTTTTTTTACATATCAATAAGGTACATGCGTATTTATAAACCAAGGCCCAAGTACCATCTGTAAAAATTAGCTTTTAACGCCCTATGAATTAATAGGCCAAGTATTTGATACAATGGACTGTATTCAGAAAAAAAACCTGAAATGTATTGACTAAAGCACAAAATTTTACAGCTTTAATTGTATTTGAACAATACCTTATTCATAAATTTTCTCTTTGCATGTAAGCAAGTTTATTACGAAGTACAAATTGTACTTCGGGTTCGTTGCCACGATGCTCTCAGTAAAGGGTATATACAAATTTTACCGATAAATTTATTAGGAAAACCTACTACATATGTACATGTACATGTATGTAATAGTCTTTCGATATATAAATGTATTCACAACTTACAGTGTTATCAATGATTTCTAACCATTATTTTAATGACCATTCACTCAAAAGCTTTTTTTTATGTTCATACATCTATTATCGCCTTATTTCTTTTTTAACATCGGACTCGATGCTGTATGATGTTCTAGAAGCTTCCGTCAATATTAAGATTGGTGAATGATGAAAATAATTTGCACATTTCCCTTTTTAATTGGTTATCACAACTTATTTCTTTTATATCATTTGAATAAAGTTTTGATTGAATAATTCAGTGTTGACGTTTTATGAAATAAATAAACGATTGCTTGTTGTCAGTCTCATTAAAAATTGCCAGTAACTTAGATCCGCCAGCCGGAAATGTCACCGTACTCATGTTTTTGCTATTTCATGGCTGTTTATAGAAAATGAAAGTAGACTTTTAATTTAATGTACGATACTTACTATGCAAGTGAAATCTAAATATAGTTTACGAACATCATCTTGTATCTGGTGTATTGTTAGAGGAGTAAGTAAGAACTCCGGTGCACCCGTTTCGGAGTTTATTTGCAAAATTTATTAATTTAGAAGTATAGATATAGCCCCACCCTAGTACCAGAAGCCCTGTCCCTGGGGCCATGAAATTCACATAATTTTGGAAGAGGAATCCTTGCTTATCATAACAATGTACTTAGTTTGTTTAAAATGAAATATATGGAGATAACGAACAGTATTCAAGCTCAAAAGTCCATTATACAATACAAAATAGGAGCAGAGCAAACACGGACCTCCAAACATCAGAGGTGGGATCAGGTGCCATGGAGGAGTGAGCATCCCCTGCCGACCGGTCACACCCGCCGTGTGCTCCTTGTCATGATCAGGAAATAACGGAAAAATCCGTCGATAATTCAGTGTGTAAATAATGGCCTAACAATTGGTATGAAAAACGTCAGTCAGCATTTGACTCAATGATAAATTGTATTTGCTGACAAGGTCATTGTATCGACCATAGAACTTACGAAATGATGACTTTAAACGAGACAGCTGATATTCTTGTTTCATCAACTT